CATCACACCCCACAACAACCTCCAGTTCTTGGGCTTAGGCAATTCTCTTGCCTCAGCCTCCTGAGTACCTGGGAGTACAGGCACCCACCACAACACCTGGCTATATTTTTGTTGCAGTTTGGCCAGGGCAGGGTTTAAACCTGCCACCCTCAGTATATGGGGCCGGTGCCCTACTCACTGAGCCATAGGTACCGCCCAACTCACTTCTTTTACCCTGAGAAATGGTTGGCTTTTTGTTTTTGTTTTTGTTTTTTTTTTTTTGAGACAGAGTCTCATTTTGTTGTCCTTGGTAGAGCACAGTGGCATCATACCTCAAACTACTGGATTCAGTCAGTCTCTTGCCTCTGCCTTCCGAGTAGCTAGGACTACAGGTGCCCGCTATAACGCCCAGTATCTTTTTTGGAGGCAGGATCTCAACCATGTTCAGGCTGGTCTCGAACTCCTGAGCTCAAGCAAACCGCTCACCTCAGCCTCCCAGACTGCTGGGATAATTGGTGTGAGCAACCACGCCCAGGCTTTTCTCAACATTTTATGAGGAACTTAGATTTCTTCTACAATTGGAACAAGAGAGAATAAAAGAAAAACACCAATTTAAATTTCAAAAGTGGTTCCAAATCCCTCAATTAAAACTGCTGATCAAAAAAAAAAAAAAATTATTGATCATGAGCTCAGCACCCGTTGCTCAATGATTAGGGCATCAGCCACATACACCAATGCAGAAGGGTTCAAACCCAGCATAGGCCTGCTAAACAATGACAACCACAACAAAAAAATAGCCAGGGGTTGAGCAGTGCCTGGTGGCTCAAAGGGCACCAGCCCCATATATCAGAGGTGGTGGGTACAAAGCCGCCCCGGCCAAAAACTGCAAAAAAAAGAAAAAAAATTGCCAGGGATTATGGCAGGCACCTAATGTCCCAGTTACTTGGGAGGCTGAGGCAAGAGAATCGCTTAAGCCCAAGAGTTGGAGGTTGCCGTAAGCTGTGATGCCATGACACTCTACTGAGGGCGACATAGTGAGACTCTGTCTCAAAAAAAAACAAAAACGGCAGCACCTGTGGCTCAGTGAGTAGGGCGCCAGCCCCACATACCGAGGGTGGCAGGTTGAAACCCGGCCCCAGCCAAACTGCAACAAAAAATAGCTAGGCAGGGCTCAGCGCCTGTGGTTCAAGTGGCTAAGGCGCCAGCCACATACACCGAAGGTGGTGGATTCGAATCCAGCCCGGGCCTGCCAAACAATGATGGCTGCAACCAAAAAATAGTCAGGCATTGTGGCAGGCACCTGTGATCCCACCTACTTGAGAGGCAGAGGCAGGAGACTCGCTTGAGCTCAGGAGTTCAAAGTTGCTGTGAGCTGTGATGCCACAGCACACTACCCAGGGGGACAGCTTGAGGCTCTGTCTCAAAAAAAAAAAATAGCTGGGTGTTTTGGCGGGTGCCTGTAGTCCCAGCTACTCAGGAGGCTGCGGCAACAGAATCTCCTAAGCCCACAAGTTGGAGGTTGCTGTGAACTGTGTGATGCCACTGCACTCTACTGAGGGCAATAAAATAAGATCTGTCTCTATAAAAAAAAAAAAAAGAAGAACTATTGATCATGAATATTTACTATACTTTTTGTTTTGTTTTTTTTGAGACAGAGTCTCACTATGTTGCCCTCAGAGTGCCATGCCATCACAGCTCACAGCAACTTCCAACTCTTGGGCTTAAGTGATTCTTTTTTTTTTTTTTTGCAGTTTTTGGCCAGAGCTGGGTTTAAACCCACCACCTCTGGCATATGGGGCCAGTGCCCTACTCCTTTGAGCCACAGGCACAGCACAGCTTAAGCCATTCTCTTGCCTCAGCCTTCCAAGTAGCTGAGACTACAGGTGCTTGCCACAACGCCAAGGCTATTGTTTTGTTGCAGCTGTCATTATTGATTTTAGCTAGTCTAGGCTGGGTTCAAACCCCTCAGCCTCAGTGTATGTGGCTAGCACCCTACCCACTGAGTTACAGGCACCCATATTTACTATACTTTTGTTTTTTTATAGAGACAGTCTTACTTTATCACCCTCGGTAGAGTGCCGTAGCATCACACAGCTCAAGCAACCGTCAACTCCTGGGCTTAGGTCATTCTCTTGCCTCAGCCTCTGGAGTAGCTGGGACTATAGGCACTCGCCACAACACCCAGCTATTTTTTTGTTGCAGTTTGGCTGGGGCCAGGTTTGAACCCACCACCCTCAGTATATGGGGCCAGTGCCCTACCCAAGCCACAGGCACTGCCCTATTTACTATACTGTTAATAAAACAACTTTAAAGTCAGATATTATCTTCTCCTGAAAGAGTTATTGAAGCAAATAAATGAGGCACTGCAGTTAAATTTATTTTACCAAGAATCATTTAGCATTCTTAGTTTAAACATTCCAAGTCAAAACCCAGCTGGACACTCCCCTGTTGGGTGGAGGAGAATATACGTAGCAGGCCAAATATTGATCTTACTACACCCAGTGCAGAGAGGCAACATTACTGGGAGTCAGAACTGGCCATCATGGTCTGAAACACACTCCCTCAAGGGAGGACCAAGCTCACCAAGGGAGCTTCCCTGCCAACCAAGTGTCCATCAACACCTACTCCCAAACAGTGGAAGCCACTGTTCTCCTCCAGACCAGTGAAGCCAATGAAACTGGAAAGTATCCACAATGGTATAAATCATCTGCAACTTAAGGCAGACAAGGTTAAAACAAAAACAAAAACCATACACAGCATTCATAAGTGATTTTGCGTTCCCACCATCCCTCTCACTGCACCCTATTCCATCACGTCTTCCAATTTTCTTCGTGGCAGGTTTCCAATAAGACATACCTCTACCTTTTTCATTTCTAAGAAAAAAAGGAAAGAAATCTAAAAAAAAAAAAAAGAAACTCAACAACCTTGTAGAACAAGAACACCAAGGAAAGACAGATGAATAGGCTCGGCGCCTATAGCTCAACCGGCTAAGGCGCCAGCCACGTACACC